AGCTCATTATGGCCATCTTGGAGAGCTGATTTGGAAAATGTACCCTGCATTGGAAATTGAAATAAAAAATTCACTGGTGCGGCACTTTGGTCTTTTTAAATGGCAGAAGTGCTTCACAAGACCACCAGTAAACTACTTTCCTCTGCTCTTAGCTTAAAAGCTTGCATCCACATATCCATTCACATAAATGTGCAGCATATTATATTCTTTTAGAGGTACACTTTAGTCCTTTTGGATTATAACCCAACATTCTGAAAACAATGCTGCATAATTATAGATGAAATGACAGGCGAGACAGCCTCTGTTAGAGAACGGCAGCCAAAGTGTCGTATAGACTGATGACCCCGTGTTTCCACAGCAATCTGCTCCTGTTCCGTAACAGCAAATGTTTAGCTCCCACTCATGCTCTGCGATCGCTCTCCTCCTCTCTGTGTGTCTTTACTCTCTGACTTGAATCAACAAAATCACAAGTGTAGCGAATCCCGTCAGCGGCACGACTCCTCTTTGTCATGGAGGTGTGAATATTTTGTTTCTGTCTGTCTGTGTTTGTGCATAATTATGAACTGGCAGCTCGTCATTTATAATCTGAGAGGAGAATCATTTAGCACTTGTTGTGGAAGCTGAAGCCAAACAGCTCTCTCTATTGACATGTTTGTTTTCCTTTCTTTTACTCTAATCTGTGTCCAAGGTAGGCTCGGGGAATTTTGGAAAAGCAATGAGCACAGACGCTTTATGAATATTATTTTTTTGTTATTCCAAAAGCTGATAAGTGAAAACGGCAACAAATTGAGCATAGTTTATTTTTTCTTATCTTAATCACGGTGCTAAAAACCTGCAAGTAGATAAATGTTCTAACTGAGAAGTCTCTGTCAGAAATAACCATTGGAGCAGCAAATGCGGATTAATGCTGAAAATAGTCCCCATCAAATGCACCATTTCCTCCTGTTTTCATCTGACACTCAACACTGATCTCTTTTAACCCAAACCACAATCGTTCCTTGCTTTTCAAACAGTTAACTGTATGTAATAGTCTTTACTAAGCCTTAGTCAAACACGAATCTAAACAAACCTTAAGCAGAGCTTTAAAAATGATCAGATGTATTGATTTTTTATTCTTTGGATTTGATGATATTGTTATAGACTATATTACAACACAGTTTGCCCTCATGCAGAAATAATTATTTAGAAGATCCAAATGAATAGTCGAAAATATTATTACGCAGCATCAATTTAATATTAATGGGAAACAGTGGGGGGAAGCAGAAGTGGTTATCATCTTCTGAAGGGATTATCTCACCAAAGAATTCACATGCCCCCCACATCTACTCTTAGTCCACATGTTGGTCCTTTAACAAACAGAGAAAGCACAGGAAGAAGCCCTGTGATAGATCATTATTTTATCGGCAGTGATCTAAGTGCAGTTGACACAATTGTAAATTTTTTGCTACATGTTTATCGTCTGAGATTCTGTTCATGGAGTCAAAAATGTTTCGAATCCATTTAAAATATTAAAATAATCTCTCCATACTGCCACTTTCCCACCAACGAAATCAAGCGAAAGACCAGTTTTAAAACATGTAAAACTCCAAACAAGTCTTCAGTGCAATCACAGCTCGCAGTTTATAAACCATTTCCCCCATAATAAACCATCATAACCCCTGGGCTATTTTCCTTTAAATTTTCACCTGAAAAAGCAGCCTCAGATGCACTCTGTCACAGCTCAGCGACTGCGAGGCCAAAATGAACAACCGTGGGCTCTGTGCTTCCGCGACACTTGGGAAAATTTGAAATACAATAAGACCCCAGGTCCCCATCACAGGGTCAGGGAAAGATCAGAAAAAGTCAACGCACAAATATATATTTTTACCGCATATCAAAAATATACACGAGCCAATGAATAGCATCCTGATAAAGAGGAGTCACTCGGTTTGTGAACGTGTTCTAAAAATTCTCAGCCTGCAACTCTGCAAAATATGATGTTACACAAATGATGCACTTTAGTCCTAGTAGTACTAGGTGGTCTCTTCACTGAGTGCATCACTCTACTACCTTTTAAAATGGCAGCTGTTTGAGTTCTATTAACAGACACAGGCTGGCCTTGGTACAGGTATCTCCAGAAGACTAAATATTGCCAGGGCGCCTTGGCGTTCAGTGCTTTTGATGCATTATTTAATAACCACCTCAACAGTGACCATTCTGTGATTAGGGTTGGGTTTGGCATGTACTACATGGATACATGAATTTTAATAAAACAAAAGTTATTTATCTATTTAAAATCAAGTGCTAAACACTGTGAGTGATAATGGGCTGAAAATTGCATCAAAAAGAGGCGGGCATTAATCAAACCCTGACCTTAGATGGGTCACCAGTGACTCTTCAGTAGACTGCAGAATTCTAATAAAGGTGTTTCCTTCATGTGTGAGGCGCACGTCTTGCTTTATCCCAGACCAGTTTGTCCTTGATGGTGTTTCAGAGCTGCTAAGGCCACATGTGCACTCTGTCCAGTGAAAAAGCTCCTCAAAACCACCACCAGACGTGGTGCAGCGGTTGGAGATCCTGCTGCTAGTCACTCATTCAATCGAACTGTCCAGTTTCTTGGACTCATACTGCAGTGCAGAGAAGCCACTATTGTGAGCACTGCTGAAAAAAACGAGGTCTGGCGATCGGTGGAGCAATGCACCACTTAGACAGAACTTGTGCATATAGAATTTCTGTATACACAAGTGCAATATATAGCACCTTGAGGTAACTGTTGTTATGGTTTTGGCACTAAAATAAAATAGAATTGAACTGAATAATGTGTTGGTTATAGATGGCACTGAGTTTAATACTGCTGACATGTTTAAGTTTAACTTATATTTCAACAACAGCAAAAATAGAGAAAACTGTGCTTATGTGGGTACACAAATGACCTGATTTAGCATTTTGTTAGAAGTTAATTCTAGTGTTTTACAAAAAATACCCATTACCAAATCCTGCTGCATATGGCAAACGTTAGATCTGATGCAGGCAGAAACTCCTTTCTTTACTGACTTGAGTGGACCTGGGAATGCTTCAGAAGAACTGAGTTTTACTATGAAATATTACATAAATTTGTGGATTTGTGTTACATTTTTCAGTGTCTACATGTCAGCCTGAATCCACTTTCTACTTATTCACTGAATGTATATTTGTAGGAATAGTCGATACTATCCCTCTGCAGTGTTGCCTCTGGGTAACACACCTACTTTCACACTCACAAAGTCATCTGATTTCGTCTTTCTTTTATTTCTACAATGGCTGAAGTATTATAAAAACTGACAATACCCTCAATTGTGGATCATTTAGGATGGAAGAAATTTTACAGACTGAATTGTTACAATGGTGACAATCTACTACAGTCCCAGGCTCAAATTCAGTGCCTATACACAGGCCTGTATAATCCAGCACCTCGAAATGCAGTCTACATTTACAAACAGACGGACTTAGTTCAAAAAGCAAGAAGTGTAGTTCATATAGTGTGTTTCTGTGTATATGTCCTTGCTTCTTTTATTTTCCCCATCCTTTACCACTATTGTAAAACTTGTCACACAATAAAAGCTACAGGCAATAACTGCATATTTGCATTAAAAAAAATAAAAGCTCACAGTAGAATAATTGTGCGGGTAAGAATTAAACCTGGGTCGTTAAGAGTTGCAGATAAAGTGTCCGCCCACCTACCCTTCCTCTGCACTATTTCAGCACTGAGCTGCTGTCTGTCTTCTCAAGTCTTTTCATATCATCCTTTCAAACATCCGAGTCTTACTTTCCGTGCATGCAGCTTGGATTTCCATAAACATTTGCATTCTAAGACATTGTGTTCATTTCCTCTAAATTTCCAGGAGACCAAGTGACTTCGTTCTCTATTACTATCTCTCTCTCACACACACGCACACACTCACTGCCATTCAAAGTGAAACACTGCAGGCCAAACACACACACAGCAGCTTTCATTCACACAGCCATCCCTGATAAGAAATATGGGTAACAATGTGATGTCTGCATCAATAGGCCACTTCAACCCAACATCCAAGAGTCATGTGGGATCAAACCCACATCAAAGCCTGGCCGACGCTGCTGTGAGAGCCGGGCAACAATGGAACAATAATTAAAGCCACATGGATATCCAGCTACCTCCCGTCACACACATCTCTCGCTTCCCCTTTGTCATAGAAATGTACAGATCACCGTTTGATGTCTGTCATGACAACAGGCCTTGCACATCACGAAATGCAGCTCCTCACCACACAACATGGAAGCAAGTCATTTCCATTCATTTGAATGCAGTAAACACTCTCATTCACTAAGCAGCTGATCATTATTTGCTGTCATAACGAGCAGTAATGCAGCAGCAATACATAACAAAATGCCAAAGAGCCTCCAATGCACTGTTAAATGAGGCAGCGTGCAGGAATATGCTTTGGCTGTATTGATTCAGCCACTTTTTATCCATCCATGAATAGTTGGGCTCATTTACTTCATTTATCATGTAATTAATATCCAGAACGAGCTCATTTTTTCCCTTTCCCACCCTCCACTTTTTTCTTTGATTAATGCTCTTATTTTTCTTCTTGATGGGGCTGCGTCCTGCTTGGATTGCGGAGGGCTTTTTTTAAAAACTGTTTCAGGGGAAAGTTGGAAGCCCAAGTAGTCAAACTGAACTTAGAGCCACGGATTGAAAAGTTATGGAAATGAGAAATGTTTAACCGCTTCGGGGAAGCAGCTGGGGGTGGGGGGGATGAAGGTAACAAAAAGTTCCAGAAAAGAAAACAAATACCCAAAAACTTAGTGTTCTGTCGGCTACAGAGGCACGAGGTTTGATAGCATAAGGTGCTTGTGCGGAATAGCTGGGGATACAAACTGGATGCCCTTATTTCCTTCATGAGTGGGTGTGCTCCAAGCAAGCCTCGCACAGCTCTTGACAGGGAAAGGGCACGCACCGAGAGAGATGTAGAGAGAGAGAGGGAGAGATTCCCTTGTACCTCTTGAGCATCGATGTCCTCCTCGCTGTCACTCGGCTCCGGCGCTTTCACGAACCACCACTGGATCTCCAAATACACGGAGGCGGTTCCGCTTTGGAACGCGCACGCCATTTCTATGTTTTGACCCTCTTTGACGGTCATGTTGGAGGGCAGGTCCGTGAACCGACCTGCGGATGAGAGAAGGAGCGGGGGGAGGAGGGGGTGAGGCGGGGGTAATAATGATGAGGCTAGTTTGTGCGTCGTCTACACGCATGGCCGCAGCAGCTGCGTTACTGAGGCACACGTTTGACGAAAGGTGCCTTCTTGTTTTTAATTAGAGAGCCCCCCCCCCCACACACACACACACACACACACACTCCCACCACTCCAACCTTTACCTTCCCACCGTCACCATATAATGACGCGCTTTCATCTGTTAATTTACGTACAACGCACTCCTGCTTTACATTATTCACCAAAACTAAATGGAGCCGCCATCCCCCCCCCCCCCCTCCGCAAAAAACCTTTCCTATTATGCATGCGTGTATCTTTGTAGCCACAGTGGAGCTGGTTGAAACCGCGTTAAAAATTCCAACTAGGCTTCGTGGTGTTTGCCTGAGTGTGATTCAGTCCACGGGTGTTTTTTTTTTTTTTAAAGCACAGATTGATAAAAGAGTTTGGTTTGAAGGGGCTGTAGCCTTCTGTGGAGCGGTGACGACATGACATTTGTAAACTTTTAAACCAAACCGTCGTTTACGTCCTTTTCGACAAACTCCCGGTTAAACTGTTTAGAGCTTTGTAGCTGCGATGTGGCCAAAGGCGAGCGTGAGAGAGCCCGCACCGACGCAGTTTGAAAGTGGCGAGCGACACCAAGCAGCCACACGGAATCCGGAGCGTCAGCTTTTCAGGAGCGCGGACAGACGCAGGCAGCTGCAGCTGTCCGCGGTGCTGAAAGCTTCTCATGAAAGGCAGCCTTTAAGACAAGTTTTATCTCCCCATCAAGCGTCGCCGTGAAAGAGGTGCAACGGGGGGAAGAGGGGGAAGGAGCCCCCCCTTCTCTTCTGAGCGCGACGTGAAACGACTTGATCTGAAACAATCACCAGTTGCATTTTTTTTTCGTCATCAGCTTCAGGAGAAACATTCATTCTGAGATCGCTTTCCCTTTCTTTTTTCTCCAGTCACTTAAAAAAATCCCTTCACAACAGCCTCTTTTCCCCGTTTTCCGCCAGCAAAGCTGCGCACTTTTAACACTTTCTCCCACCAGTGCAGGGCAGCAAAGCCAGACACGATCGCGCTCGCACGCCAACATTGTTTTTCCCCCCTTTTGGTTAAGAAAATATGCCATCCTTACCTTCAAAAGAGAATCCGAATTGAACGCAAAATCCGGTTAAGAAAACAAATCCAACAGTATCGTGTGAGGTCCACATCATTCCAAGATCAAGGGGCTCGTTTTTCTTTTTACATCAGCCGGAGGAGGATAGAAAAAAGACGAATCTTTCCAAGGGGGCGAAGAGGGGGGAAAAATCCTGCACACCAGCAAAATCAAACAGTTGCTGGGCGAGTGTGTTTAAACGGAGATTTCAGAAGGCTGAACATGCTGGAAAGCTACAGCTTGTCGTTGCCGAAGTTCTTTTTTTCTCCTTCCTTCTCTTTCTCTGTGCCTCTCTGCGGGAGAGACTGTCGACTGCCTGGTTGCACTGAAGTCTGTGAAATAACCGTGTTGCGGTCTTCTTCTGCGCTACCAGAGAGACGTCAGTCTAGTGGATCACTGTGGCATCCACACTCTCCCCACACCTCTGCAAATCTAGTCCTCATCCGGCCCTTTTTCCTGTCACCTTGACCGCTTAATTTAAACAAAAGCAGCACCGAGCGTTTGCTTTACAGTTACTACTTTTTAACGAGCTTATTTTATTTGGACATTTTTGCAAATGATGCCCAAATGATGCGAATACAGATTTTTAAAGGTCCTACTTATTCACAAAACTTCCGTTTTGTGAAAGAGAACCTTAAAGTTTGTCTAACATGCACAAGAGCGCGTATTAAATGTGGGTGTGTCGAAATCTGGTGCACTCACGCAGTCAGGAGTTCGTCTAAATATTGTAGCTTCACAAGTGAGCAAATAAGAAAGATGACAGTTTGGAGGTGGGTCATGGCAGGGCAAGCATAACATGTCCCGAGTCATTAAGCTAAAAGAGAGCCTGCTGGAATTTGCTATTAGTCTCCCGGAAAGAGTGAGAACATTTTGGCCTTTGATGCAGTGCGTACATATCGTGGCACCACTAATGTCTGCTCATAAGGTGAATGGAGATCATCCATCCTTTGGGGAGGCGGACAGGTGTGTATAGGTCGACTGGCATAAAGTCAGAATTCAGGAGTGATGGGAATAATGTGTTACTAACGGCGTTACTTTTTTCAGTAATCTAACTAATTACTATTTCTATCGTTACAACGCCGTTACCTTTACTAACAAGAAAATGTGGTGTGGTCGCTTTACTATTTTTCAACAACCAGACGGTTGAAGCTGCCTTCAGCTTACCGCACCTTACTGCATCAGAAGTAGCTGCCTACTAGAAAATCTAGTAGACAGCTAGATAGACAATCTAGGTAGACAATCACTTTCGCCCGCTTAAGCTGCAGTGGGCAGCTTGATGCCTGATGATCACTTTTTGGCACAACACCTGGAGCTAAGGGAGCAAAACAATCGCATAAGTGCTGCTGTTTGACTGAGGAAGCATAAACGACTTTATGACCTTATGACATGACCACTTAAAGATAACAAAGCAACAAGGTGATATATACCAGTTTTTAAATTGTATTGATAGGCCACGTAAAACCAGAGTAATGCTAAATAATATATACATATTTTTTTCCTGAATAGTTTTGTCACGTTTACTGTCTAAGGACAGAGCAGTGAGCACTCTCTGCTTATGAGAGTGCTTGCTAGAGTTTAAAAAACAAACAAACAAAAAAACCTGCCCCTTCCTGTTGGTGGAAAAACGCACCATGTCGGCCAATCAAAAATGATATGTCAACATGACATTTGGTTGTTTAGGAAGAGGGGGAAGTTTTAGGAGTGACTGCAAGAGAGAGAGAAAGAGAGAGAGCTTTGAGATGTGAGAGATTTGTGATTTTTAGCTGTTTGGAGCGTGTAGTTAATGTGTTGTCTTGTGTAGTTGGTGTGTAGTGTTGTGTGTTAGACAGTGTTGGGTTAGTTACTTTAAATTAGTAAATTAGTTACATTACTAGTTACTTCTATCAAAAGTAACTCAGTTACTTCAAGTTACTCATTACTTTCAAAGTAACTAGTTACTAGGGAAAGTAACTTTGTTTTTACTCAGAATTCTGTTTTTAATATTGTGTTGCTTCCCTAACTGGATACCCAGCAAGGATGCCAGTCTTCTAGCTTGCTTACATGTTAGCACGATCTTGCCACAAGTGCACTGTGCCACCTACCAACAGAAAGGAAAAAATAACGTGCATATTTCCACGAGAGAAATCCCACGCCTGGACCGTCGTTGACCGCCGCCATGATTCTAGCCTACGTCACAGCGTCACGTGCGCTATTTGCATCCAACACGAAAACTGCAGTCGTGGTGCTTTCGATGTACTCAGAACAGAAATTCTGCCTTCTGAATAGAGATTGACAGACCACGTGACATTCACGCATTGCATTGTGGGTACGAGTGGCAACAAAATCAAAACACTCCATCAAGCGCTAGCATTTCCAGTGCTGGTAATCATTAATTCTGCAGTTTTAATCCCTATTTGCATTTTATTTGGTCCAAAAACAGTTATGTACAAAACGACGGAGAACACGGCAGGTCCGTACAGAGACAGAGTTCACGCAAAGGCAAAAAAAAAGTACGAGGAAAAAATCAAAGGAGTGAAAGAGTCAGACCCATACGAGCATACAGAGTGGATTAAGTACTGCCCAACTTTCATCACGCACATATTTATTATTATATGGTCCAAAATGTTTAGCAACTTCAGATCCCTGCAACAAGCCCAGGTGCAGTTTACTTTGGTGATTTGGACGATTCCATCTCACAGCTGTTGTTAAATTTCTTTTCCTTTATCTTCTGTACAGGCCAACGCATGTATTTGACGTTTCAGGTTGTAGTATTACACAACATTTTCAGATCTAATAGAAATAAAATAAATGTTTCATAATTCACTCAATTTATTGTCATTATTTATAACTAGCATTATTGCTTCATGCTATTATAGAATCTCACAAGAAAGAGTCAAAATTGTATTCCATTGTGCTTTATTAGCTGCTTCGGTGAAAAACAAATCAACAATGCAAAAAAAAAAAACCCAAAACATATCAAAACAACATACTGGAAAATGGTTATTCATCACTTGCTTGCTTCAATACAACACTTGGGCACATGTATGCGTGACGTTTCGTGTTTTGATCTTGCTCTCTCTCTTACCCGATCAAATCTGGCTGTGGTAGCAGCTTTAAACTCTGTCTGACCCAGGCTGATAGAGGGGCCCAGTCTGGATCACATTCCTGCATTTTGTAGGCTGGTTTTCCTACAAAACACAACAAACATTAGCCCGCAATGCCACAGTGAACAAAGCAGCATAGCGCAATGTTATGATAAATTACGTAATAACTACAACAGAAGACGTACCTTCGTGTAAATGCTAGGAGCAGACTAACCTGTGAGCTGGAGTGTTCTGGGACGTTATATTTGGTCGTCGAATGGCTGCAATCCAGGCCATCCGTCACCTCTTTGTTACTTCGGTAACACGGCTTTAACAATTTCTCTTGCACGACGGAATCCGATAACAACCAATCTCTTTACCCGTCGGCTTCCCGTGGCTGTCGTGCGACCGGCTATTGCAGTTAATAATACAACAGCTTCTTGCCATTCTTTGTGTTTCTTTTTATCGCTGTGTGACTGTTTTCTTGTGAAAGCCTCCGTGCGCTAGTACCGCTTGCCACTCGTACCTACAATTCTTTGCGGTTTTACCCCGGAAATGACGTCACATTTTCAATCTCTGTAGGAAGATGTAGGTAACACCAGACTGCAGATGAGCTGCATACAGGGCTGGACTGGGACAAAAAAATATAGGAAAAATCATAAAGCCTTTGAATGAAAACAAACGCTGTTGTGACAGTGATGTTCACTGTTTTGATGGTATATATGAATCAATCTATCAATCCTTTGTTGTAAGATTCAGATAATTATTTTTTAAAAGCGAGACATTTTAAATGAGAATAAGAAAGAAAAGTATTTCTTTGTGCCCCCCTCTCCCTGTTAATGCCCTACCTGGCCCCCTGGCAACACTTTGCTAGACCCGCCCCTGCACAGTTACCAGCTGTCAGCTACCTAAAAAAGGATCCTGGGGTTATTTGTCTCTCAGAAACAGTTCATAACTTCCCTTCAACTCATTCATGTCACCTAAAAGGTAAACCTGTTTCTCCATCACCTGTTCAGCTCTGATGATCCAGTAAGGACATCTCCTGGTTTCATCTTCATGTTTCCCTCTCACCAGATAACCAAACCGACATGATGACCAGCAGCTTTACAGCTGTGGCTCCAGCAAACATCAGCTGATACTAGAAATTAATATTAAATAAATTCTAACAACAGCTGATCAAGCTTAAACGTGCTGCTGCTGTTTAACGCGACATCCGCTGGTTTCCTCTTTCTGGCGCAAAGTGGGCGATAAACAAACAAGAGAGCCGGGACTTGCGAGAGAAAAAGCGATCAGGTGATCATTGATCAGTTTCTTGATTGAAGTAGAAACAGGAGAGGGAGGGAGAGAATGAGAGAAGAAGAGGCAGCTGTGCAGCGTAACGACAGAATAACTCCAGCTTTGTGTCTTTTTCATTGTAGCTGAAGTTCGGGACAAACTCTTCCTTTTTCATCTCAATACAAAAATAATATTTTCTCTGAATACGAGAATTCCGTTTTTTAGGGGACGGTTGGAAACTCTAATAATTAACCTTATGAAAAGTTCACTGTCAGTAACATCATAGCACCCACCCAGCTGTATAGAAACTCTGTCATGCTAGCTAGTATGTAGTACGAGTTATTGTAACTGACTCTAAAAAGTCAGCATAACGAAAATAAACTCCACCTAAACTTGGTTCATATCTGACCCAGAGAGACTGCAGGTCATAACTTCTTACCTGAAGTTCAGTTCACACTTGGACCGGCGGCCGCCTCGGGTCTCTTTTCCTTCTGCGTCCCTTTTCCTTTATCCACCTGCTGCCTCCACCACTTGCTAATGTTACTGAATCTGTGGAAGCTCCGCGATAGCCACCACACGAAGTAACGAATAACGAGCCTATCTAAATCCCAGTAACGAGTAACGCGTTCCTGATTTTGGCATAATAATTAGTTACCATGCTCGCTACTACAATAATAACGTAGTTACTGTAACGCGTTACTTAATAACGCGTTAGTCCCAACACTGGTGTCAGAACAATCAGGTGATGGCTGTCTCCAGGTAGAGAACAGGAGGAGTGATACACCTGCTATCAGACCAGCAGGTATCAGGCTGTGATGTTCTCCTTTATAGTGGACACAAATATTTGGAGTGGCACAAATAATTTGTGTGGTATCTTAGTGCAGCGGTCCCCAACCCCCGGGCCTCGGACCGGTACCGGCCCGTGAGTCGTTTGGTACCGGGCCGCGAGAGTTGAGGCTCAGGTCTGAAATGTATGGTTTTCAGGGTTTTTATTGATTTTCAGCGTTATTTTGTTAGCGTTTTTATCGTTAACTTGGTTTTCCTGGGTCTTTTCACGTGTGTTATGAATAAATCTTCTTTTTTTCGGTACCGGTACTAGTTTTATTTTGTTGTATCTGACACCTCAAAGGCCGGTCCGTGAAAATATTGTTGGGCATAAACCGTCCGTGGCGCAAAAAAGGTTGGAGACTGCTGCTCTTAGTGAATGCAGAACAGCTGATCGTTCTGTAAATAGTTTGAAATGGTTATTAAAAAAGAGGGTAAAAGGTAAATGGCTGCAAATAACTTTGTTGTTTGCAAAACTTGTGCATAGGAT